TGAAATTAGTAAAAAAAAAAAATATATATTTTTCCTTGAATTTCATTTGATTTCATTGATTTTTCTCATTTTTAGGTTCACAGGACACAATGGAGACAAAAACTATACTTAGAGTGGTAGTGAATGAAAATGACATAAGGAAAATCACGCTGCATAGGAAACCACAAACTTTGACTTCATTGATGGAACAGCTTGTGGAAAAGCTAGGTCTTCCATACACGTTTTATCTTCAGTATGAAGATGCTGATTTTAACAATGCACTGGTTAACCTCACAGACATTGCAGATTTACCTGAAAGGCCCACCTTAAAGGTGATTGCTCTTGCAGCATCTCCTGCAGCATCTCAAACACCAAGTACAGCTGACACAGATATTGTGTCTTTGACCTTAGAAGAAGGTTCATCTAATGTACGCCAAGCTCAGTGGCCAGAGACCTTTGAAATCCCAAATTTTCCTGTAGACATTGAGTACAGATTGCGCCAAGGAAATCTTCTCTACATGAAAGACCAGACATATATGCACGCTCCTAGGGACATGAAGCATGAAATCCTTGAAAAACTTGCTGAGTCAATGTACAACTTCAAAGCATATCCCTCTGATGACGAATTCAATGATGTTGCATCTGCACTAGTCAAAAAACATCCATGCCTTATTGAGCCAGGTTCCTCGACCGGATGGAACGGTTGGAAGAATAGCCTCAAATTTAAAATGGGGAACTACAGAACAAAGCTACGCCGAGCTGGATGCACAGATGTTCTTATAAATGCAGGGAAAAGGGGAAGCCAAGATCCTGTGAGAAGTGTTAAAAGACCTAAACGATTTGAAATCAATTTTCTTCCCAATTGTCCTGCTAATGAGGATGACTGCAGCATGGAATCTAAACGCTTACAACTTGTGGAGGAAATGAAGAAAAGTCATCCAAGTTCCACCTTGATATCACAGCACATGGATTCCACTTTCTCCTTGAGAAGAAAAGAGATTGTAGAAAAGGAGCCTCCAGTAAAAGAGACTCTCCAAAGATGGCCATCACTTTTCACAGAAAGACAGGTAAGTTATAATTAAATTACACCATGATAACACAATATATAAAGAACACTTCATTTACTTACCCTCATGCCATGCCAGATGTGAATTGCTTTTTTTCCACCAACATTTAAAAAAAAAAGTGTTTAGAAAACTAGTCCATCTCAGTCCATTTATTGCAAGTGAAGAGGTGCTACAATGTGAAAGCTCAAAAGCACAAACAGATATTGTTACTTCAATCCATAGAACTCTATATGAACTCAGGGATGGGTTATTTTTATATTATAAATTTAGTCATTTGGATTCATCTGAAGGTAGTCATGTGAATCTAGGACAGCATGAGCGTGAGTAAATTAAACAATTTGCAAGTATCCTTTTAAAAGAGTAACAAAAAGCCTAATATACTTTTGTTTCCTTTTACAGATCAATTCAGAGTTTAATCGAATTACAAGCAAAAACCTCAAGCAAGAATTTTTCTCTGCACTCGATAAACATACTTCACGATTTCTGGACATTTTTGAGAGCAAGAAAGGGGCTGTTGGAAAAAGACTCTCTGAATTTCTTCAGCAAATCAAACCTGTGGTAAGCTTATCACTTTTCTTTCTTAAACTAAATTGTTACTGTCTTATTAACTAATTTCATAATTAATTTTATGTTATACATACACTATAAAATGTAATTGTATCTTTTTTTTTTCCAGAGCACTGACATCACTGCAAAGCGCACAGCAGTTCTTCGTGGCCTTCCACTCATTCTTGGAGAAGAAGCCTCTAACTTTTTTACAACAGCACTGGTAAGTACCTTTACTATAACCCCCACACAAACATCACATATAGGCATTCGATTATGTTTTAGGCAACTCCTTAATTTGGACCAGATAAGTAAATTCTGCTTTTGTTTCACATTTCTTAATCAAGCCCTTGTACTGTTCATTTTGTCAAATTTCTACAATGTACTTTAACAACAGTTTTTATTAGTTGTACGTAGAACATGGCCCAAGAGATGGTCCTGATTC